TCATTAAACTTCCCAAGGAGAGCAGAAGCTTGAGCTGACGCAACCACTTATTTGACACAGTTTTTGACACGACTGATACTCGCCTAGTCACTGGGTCAACGTTCGTTTCTTATTAGCGACAATTAGCACTCGTACATAAACGTTTGCCGATGACGTCAGTGTCACCGTACGCGGAATACTCTGACGATGTTTCCTCGTCAGAGCAGAGGACCATCGCGGCCTGAATCGAGAAAATAAAAGTGTTTTCGGTTGTGTTATTGGGCAGAAAAGGTGGAATAATCGAGGACTGGCTTTGGGAATTTTACTCACTCGCGATTTATTGTTTAGGATTAAAAGATAGTTAAATGTCCGCGAAGGTTTGCGAAGTATGAGGATCTGTAGAACATGTTCCTATGTTCTCTCTCAAGTATAATAATGTATTGTAGGATGTATCATAGGAAGTTATTATAATGTAGAAAATTCACTGATCTTTTGGGGGGCAATAAATTATTAAAGGGAATATCGTGGTTTTTTGGAAAATACTGGACTTTAAAATTTGATATAGATCTGAAAAAATAGGTATAGTTTTGACTGATTTATGATAACAATAGTAATAATGATAATAATAACGGCAGCTATTTTTCATTTTCTATTTAAATAGATGCTGCGCGTTTCGAAAATTTTTGCGACACCATAAAAATATATTACACCCTTTACTGAGATGAAAAGAAATATATATGTTATAATTTTGATTGCCCTACGAGGGAAAAGAAAAATGAATAATAATCTATCTTTCACTTTCCTGTTCGAGACAATTTAAATTTTTAAAAATTCCCTCGTTGTGCTTAAAAATTCTTGAGACATTCCAAAAATGTATTATATCTTTTCTTAATATTACATAAGAAAAAATAAATATGATTTTTAATTTTTCACTGTATTATTTGACAATCTAAAGACAAGGGATCGATACCTTTAACTATTATAAATACCGTTGTTAAGTTTCTCAGTACACATCACGCATACTGATCGAAAATTACTCGTATAGATAATCATGCATTTTATTTTGCAATATTAAAACTTCTCTTTTAAATAAATTCAAAAATTAATCACAAAGCAAACTACCCTGCCACGATAGTTTTACGCTATTACAAAATAAACATATACCTTACAAAATAAATAAGAAAATCTTTTTTAAACTACTCTCATAATCACCAGCATAATTGTGTAATTATATGGATACCCTAGTAGCTCCATCCATGCACATCACACGTATTGATAAAAAATCAGGAATATAGATAATTATGTCGTTGATTACAAAAATTTCATTTTAGAATATTAAAAATTCTCGTTTAAATAAATTCAAAAATTAATCACAAAACAAACTCCACCAAATAGTTCTATCCTTTGCTATCCTGTTACTATAGTTTTATCCTATTCCAAAATAAACGTGTACCTTAAAAAATAAATAAAAAAATCCCCTTCAAACCACTCTCATAATCACCAGCTCAATCGTGCATCGTGTAATTGGATGGATACCCTACTAACTCTAACCATGCCCACCACCTTTATTAATAGAAAATTAGCGATATAGAAAGTTATGTCGTTGACTACAAAAATTTCATTTTAGGATATTAAAAATTCTCGTTTAAATAAATTCAAAAATTAAGTTAATCACAAAACTCCATCATACAGTTCTATCCTTTGCTATCCTGCTACTACAGTTTTACCCTATTCCAAAATAAACGTGTACCTTAAAAAATAAATAAAAAAATCCTCTTCAAACCACTCTCATCATAATCACCAGCTCAATCGTGCATCGTGTAATTGGATGGATACCCTACTAGCTCCAACCAATATTCGCTAATGCAACGTGTAATACGTAATAATGCAGCCTAACAGGTACGCTAATAACCTTAAAAGCCCACGCGAAAGATCTTGTTTTCGGCTCTTCGTTACCATTGCTTCCTCCATTTTCTTTTCCCAACCACCGCAGTTCCGTAACCAACGGTGACGTTACCCCGCGATTAATTTACACCCACGCTGCGTGACAAGGGCACCGTGGAACGGGTTACATTTCCGCGCGGCGAGTTCTTCGCGGAAATCGACAGAAGGAATGGAAAGTAAATTTTTCGTGGAAAGATATCGCTGACCAACGTGAAAGTCGCTAATAAGCAGTACTCGAGCGATAACCCGGGCTGAATTAAACGATTTACCAACGTCGAACGACGGGCGTAATAAACTTGATAACAGCGATTTATCCTGCATAGACGTTTGTAGCCGGTGTGTACGTTGTTGAACGCTCGTTTCTGCGAACGAATGGCGAATTTCGTTGATTGAAAGTTGCCAGATATCGCCTGGGAGAGCGTTCTGAAATGTTCAGCTGATTGTAGAGTGTTGATTGAGAGTTGCTCCAGGCAATAACGCCGTGAGTCTTTTTTCTCCCATTCGTTATTGTTTTTTAATGGCAGGTTATGGTACAATTTCGTGGTTAAATATGTAGCGAGATAAAGTGTTCCAGTTTTTCAGCCAGGCTCCCCAGTCGAGGGTAATAAAGTGATTTTGTAATTTGACGAAAATTACACGACACAGGGCCCCTTAATTTGGCCATTTATATTTTTCTCCCTGTTACTTCATTTTGTATTGTCCATTTCGGTTTCTTTTCTATTGGGAAATGTTACTTTAAATTTTTCTTTCTGTCTTAAATTGGTTAAAAAAAAATGTGTGTATATATATATATATATATACCAAATAGTCCCTAATCACGCCAGCCATTCGTTCCCATTTTTTAAAAACACGATCTATATAATTTCCATAATTTTTATCAATTTTATTAAAAAAAAAAAATTGTGAATAAATAAAAAAATCCCCAAAAAGTCAATTTTACCGGATTACAATACCCCCTTAAACTAGAATTAAATATTGACTTTGGAAATTTGTTGATAACATTCAAAGATAACGTTCAAAGGTGAGGCTAAGGAAAGTCTTTAATGAATAATTTTTTCAGTATCTCAATGCAATAAATTTATATAAAAAAATCTTTTACTCTGTCACAATTAATTTTAATTAGTTGAAGTTTTATTTCAAGAAATTTCATTTTGATATTTTACCAGAAAATTCTAAAATATTCATAGATTCTAAATTTCTTTTATATTTAAACTTTGACAAAGTCTTTTTTTAAAATATTATAATAATTTCTGTGAAAAAAAAAAAAATTGTTTTCATTGGTCAGTCAATTTTAACGTTATAACTATATTTGTAAGGTTCAATTTTCAATTTCGAGCATTATGATGTAGAAATAAAGGAAGACTCACAGTCGTGAAGTTGCAATAGTACGGTATTCTTGAGGTTTGCAGCTGAGCGGTTTAATTGGAATGCAGGGAGATGAAATAGGAGGCGCAAAGGGACGATACGAATGACATTTCCTTCCTCACGTGAGCAGGATGCGGGTTCATACGGGTATTCGTACGGGTTCGGTGTTACAATGAAGTCAAGGCGTTTAATTACCCATCGAAGACGCCATTGCGTCCCAAATATTGAGATTATGCTCGGTGAATTGAGGCTAATGGATGTTGTAACTGAAATGTAACTGCCTTTATCGCAGTGTAAATGTTTATATTTGTCATTAAAATTTTTCTCCCACCCCTTCTTCTTTTTCTCAATTCTTAATCTCGTAAAGGTTAAATAAGAATTTACAAAAAATATGGGAATGATAAATGTATAATAGTCCTCTTAAAAATATCTTTTCCTGTAAATGAGAAATAATACAATTTGCATAGAATTTAAAATGTGAAAACGTGTATAAATCTGCCACGTTTACTGCCCCAACGTCACAGAATTGTATTAAAGGAATGCATAAAAGCAATTGCCTAAAACAGACCCAAGTGTATGACAAAATATAACTGAAGGAAAACTGAAAATTACTTCAAACCTCAAACCCCAATCCCTTAAAAACCAAGTTCAATTGATATAAGATAGATCAGTGAAATTAACCCATTTCTAAACAGTAACCATCAGAATAGAACACAACAATTCGCTATTCAAACCGTCAATCCTTTAAAAACTAACCTCAATCGATATAAGATAACCCGAAAAATAAAGAAGTTAACCTAAATTCAAACAGCATTCATCATCCATTAAGGTATAGAAATTCAGTACTCACACCTAAGTCCCTTAAAACGATGTAACATAAGAATCAGTCCAATTCGAAACATCTACAAAACCATTCCAAAGCAACAATTCATCACTGCACTTTAATCCATCCTCATTTAAGCATCAAAACGCCACCTACATTACACCAGGCCAATCAGTCACCATCCCCTTTCTTCTCTCACATTCCTCTCATTCATTTCCAAATTTAACTCACCACAAACACGTCTTTCCTCAACACGAATAGTCGCAATCGCGACAAACACGTCGAATCTTTCATCATACTCGAACAAAGAATCCGTCGTCGATTCGAGTCGCGCGATTTACGCGGAATTACAAGCCTCGTCGTTAAGGTTCATTAGGTGGTAAAAAGCGTGGAGCATCGTGCGAACGCGTCGGTACGGTCGCTATCTGGAATACCCACGCGGGGCAAAAACCGCGGGAAACGCACGCGGCCTTAACCAGGCGTGTTCGTGTCCGTCCGGTCTTTCTCGTAATTTCGCCGGGACAATATAAGGGGCAGGGCAAAAAAGCCTGCCGCGGTACTCCCCCTCGTGCCGCTGCCTTCGCTGACAGATACGAGTTTATTTGGAGAAACGGTTTTACTGCGACGACGACGAGAAACGCGTCAGGTACAGGTCGCGCGCGGCCAACTGCGTCCGGCACTCCGCATATAGAACATCCGTTCTGCGGCGCGCGCACACATGCGCCGCAGGGGATGCGCTTTGTGTCCTGCGACGCTCACGTGCGCACGTACTGGTCGCTTTCATCCGTATGTACGTTCGGTTTATTGCAACGGCGATTTTAGTTTACCGTGCTTGGTATATTGGCGTTTGTGAGTGGACTGTTGATGAATGTTTGTGAATATGGAGTCATGGAGTTTGGCTGGATAGGAGAATGAAATGGAGAGGATATGTATGTATGTGAGTATGTGATAGGATAGGTTATGTTGCTTTTTTTATTTTTATGAATAAATTTATGATATTTTGTGAGAAAGTAATATAATTAATATTATCGATATCTTCAAGAAAGTGGTAAGGTTACAGATTTAATTCTGATATCAAATGAAACAGAATGTTCATAAGCATGGTAAGAATACAGATTCAATTTTGAAATCAACCAGAACAGAGTTTTGAAATGTTCAGGAGGTTGGTATGAATACAGGTTGAATTCTAAAGTCAAATATAAGAGAGAAGTTTGTTAATATAGGATAGGAGGGATAGTATGTTGAATTTTAATTTTGCTTGCTTAAAAGGAAGAAAATATGATTTACAATAGATGTAGTGATTATTAGAAATAGTTTACTTCTGTTAATTTTCCAATTTTTATATTACTAAAGGGTGAAAACTGAATACTTCAACTAGACATAACTAAAAATACGAATACTTTTTTACCAATAATTTTCCAATTTTTATATTAGGTAACTGAAAAAGATTATCTTGATATTTAGTTAATAAGAAAAACAACCTGTAAGGTTCAAAGATATAGAACTTTTAAACATAGGTGCTACATTCATGAAATTTTGTAAAGATGCGATATTTTATAGGAAAAAATATATTTAATTCTAAAGTCAATTAAAAAGATAGTTTTGGTAATGCGACTGAGGGCTAGTGTGTTGAATTCTGATATTACTCCCTTGTACAAAATGGAAATGAAAGAAAATACATTAATAAAATAGATGACAGGAGGATAATACCATATGTTCATTTTTGTTGACTTTATGATTTTTATACTAGATGGCTAATATTGAATGATTAGACTTCCAAATCTCTAAATTTGTGTCACTATAGAAACAAGGTGATAACACTATCATATTCAGAATAAATTGCTTATTCACGCTAAAGGATAAATTTGTATGGGATCCAAATCACTCATTTAGTAATCAAGGACTCTGGTCATCCCCTCCCTGCCAACCATGTCTTAGCTCTAGCCTTATGTGTATAAGTATGTACTAGGAGATATTTTTCAAAAAGCTCATTTTCTTACTTGTATTCTCACAGCTGCACTTAACAACAGTTTTTAAATTAATTTATTGTTTAAATTTCCAAATAAAATGTTTGATATTAGATAACCAAAGGGTCATATTTTGATATGGTATAGTTAAAGAGAAGAGAAAAATCATCTGAAAATATATGAAATATCCATGAAGTTTAGTAAAAAAAAAAAATGTCAGCATTACAACAATTGATAATTTTAGAAAAAATGATAATTTTGTTCGAAAGAAAATTTAACTTATATTTAATAGCTTATAATTTATTATATTTAATAATAAATCTAATATTATTATGTTTAAGACTGTCCAAGACAACTTAAAAGTGTGAATCTTCTTTTGAACATTTTTGCATTTCTTGGAATTCTGACTACTTACTATTGATTTAGATTCAGAGAAGGACATGCTTACTCGTGAATAGGTGTGTTGAATGTGGAATGACATGTGTTTGTGACTTGGTTTTTGAGATTGTAGATTTTTGAGGTCCATGGGATCTACGTGCATTTGCCAAGCAAACTTTTCATCTCAAAAATAGAATATACTAAACTAATACTAGAAAAATTAGAGTAATTCTTTTTAAAGAATAATTTATAATTATGAGATGTATAATTCATAATTATGAGTTGCTCTAAGTATATAATAAATTACAAAACTAATTATATGAGAAAATTATTTATATTACAAAAATAATTAGGATATACATGCTATAAGTCAGACAAATAATTACTTATAATGAAACTGTAAATTTTTTAATGAATCAAATAATTATAATATATGTAATACGTCATAAATTATAGGATATTGTACAACTTATGAAACAATTCAGTAGGAATAAACAGAAGAATAGGTTGACCTCATAGTGCAAGAACTTAATTATTTGGGAGTCTTTTGAATATTTACGTCTTAAATAATTTTTGCAGACTGTACAATCTAACTATACTTTTCTCATCCTGAAATAGTCACTTGTTACCACGTAAACACAATTAAACGCAGGCTGTATCATGGCATTCAAAGCCCATGGAAGATTCGTCAGACGTAATCGATTCTACCGAATATGGCTGCTGCCTAATAAGGAATTCATTGGACGTTGTCATTGACGAAGACCAAGCAACACACGTTGCTATATCGAGATATTTCACCTCGATAGTACTCTCGATTGCCTTTTTGCGACTCGAATACTACAGAAGGACAGCCAGAGAGAGAGATTTATATGAGAATTAGTTTTAATATTTCGTTGCTCAACGTTGGATTTTTATGATTAATTTTGATTAATTGGGAATGACTTAAAATTCATAGTATAGTATACCTTATTTTTTTTTAATTATTTTATGAAATAATTATTTTTTGAAATTATTATTAAATCTAAGTCCCAGTTATGGGTGATATATCTTCGAATGTGTGAAGATGGTGGAACGATGAATTATTATAATAAATAAGTTTCACAGTTTTAGGTATTTTAGAGTTATAGATTTATAATTTTATAAATTATAGTTGTTTATATCTTAAATTATATAATTGCATGTATTTTTATCGAGTTGAATCAATTTTTGTTATTTTATTATATTATAAATATTGCGCTGCGCCTTTAGATGCATATATCTTTTATGATATATTTTTATATTTAAAATATATTATAAATTAAAAATATATTAAATATATTTTTTTTAAATATATTATATATATGTATATATTACTTCTGATATGATATTAAATAATAATAATTTAAATGCAATAAATGTATGGATCACAATATGCATATCATATAATATTATTAATTATTGCATCAAGAATCAAATGAAAAATATAATTGCATGAAAATAGAATCAAATTATTATAAAATTATAATGATATATCAAATTGTAGTGTACCATAATATATCTAATATATTAAAAGTGAAGTATAAAATATATTCATTATAAGAAAACAAAATTTCCTCACATATGAAACAAATTCAATTTAATTTCATCGACATATTTATTAATATTACTAAAATTCACTTTACCATCATTCTCTTCGTCAAATTAATTTTTACCTTACACGTTTCGTTTCTTTGATAACATGATTTATGTAACGCTTAATTAATCTTGTTGCTTTCATATTAGCCCCCCTATGATTAATACTCCTTTTGTCTGTAATTCATCCGCTATCAATAAAGAGGTTCTTGTGATTAATGATGAAATCAAGTTCAAGCCCGGTAAGTCAGGGAATATTAATCAATTCCATTTCTCAGCATCATTCTGGTCCAAACTGAGAAAAATAAATATTTCATTTAACGTGGTTGCCGAACACTTGGTATCGTCAAGCTGTCGTCGAAATCCTCCGAATGGGTTGTATATACGCTTCAAATATATCCGTATAAGTACTTCGAATTTGTGAATCATCGAATATAATATCTCAATCTTATCGAACGTACACGATCTTCTCGCTACTTTTTGTATATTCGAAGGCTCCGAGTAAACTATAAATGATTGTGTAATAGCAGTGAAAAGGTGAAATTTAAATCTGGTATTCGCGAATATTCTAGTTTGGAATGAAAATAATTCCATATAAATATTATGCTGTGATATGTTGATGAAATTTACATAATTATGTCTGGAATTACATAACGGTGCCTAAAAAGCAGTTTTTATAAACTCATAATCATTAACTTATTATTGCTATATACACAGGGTGTCCCATAAAAATGTATACACTGCGTGATTATAAAAACAGTATATATTTAGATAGGTATTAGATGAATATTAGAAAGAATAAGGTATTAAAGTGTGTATACGTTTTCTTGGGTCACCCTGTATATTATTATATTATATTTTTTCTTTCTTTCTTTTTTTTTTTTTTTTATAAGTAAAGAGACAAAAATTATTAACTCCTCACATTAAATTGTATTAAGTTTAGGACTCGTTAATTTTGACAGTACATTATATTATAAAAGGTTGTTAATGAGAATGAAAATTAAAGTACGTAAATAATAGATAAAACTAAATTAAATTGTAAATTAGTTTTTATTTATTAAAGTTCTGTGTTGAGGAAGTTCTAAGATTTTTGTCAATCGACATACTTTGTTTTCTGTTTGGCCTAATTAGAAAAGGATTATTTACTATGAATTTTCATTAAAATAATGGAATATTAAATTTAAACTGTTAAGTTTGAAGTGATTGTTGCATCCTTCGGAATTGTTGCATGCAAAGATGGAACAAGATAGGAAACCTTAATACAGTTTCTTATGTGTTAACGCCATCTGTGTTACTTCAGAGAAACTAAGAAAAAGTAATACAACCGAGGAAACAATCTGTTTTTGATCTATGTCACTAAATAGATATCCATATGTGACAGAAAGTCATCAAAAGAAATTCTATGTATATTATCCAATGACACCAATTTTCTAGAGAAATACAGAACCTTTAAATCTTCAGGATAATGTATTTCCAATCCTTCCAAACTTAACCCAGGTCATAATAGGACATTCTTCTTTTTCTGTAAATCGTGTTTAACGAATTACCACGTGTCTAAAAATATTCTCATCAAATTTAAATGGAATATTCCGACAATTGAGGTAAACGAAGAGCTCTTTATTTACCCGCATACCCTTGATCTGCATAACCAAAACTTCTGACCCGATGTGCTCAATCCGCCATTTTCTCTTGTGTCTAAACGTCCTCAATTGGGACTGAACTTTAACTCTTTATACTGCAAGAATGGTCTCGTTCAGTTGACCACTGCAATACAAACTTTTAAATTCAACACTCGGAAAATCACTATAAACTTAGAAACATGTGGAATAATTCTTCTCCTCTACAATAATTCTTTCCATCTTTAATAACGAAAGCACAGATGAATCCTCTGCAGTCAGAAAGCAAACAGCTTTGACTAAAATAGTATATCAGTGGGATCAAATATTTTATTCGAAAAATTAGTTTGAAATACTATACATAT